TCAAGGATCATCATATATGTCCCTGATATATTATAGTTCATCACAAAGCTCTAGCAGCTTGGTGGCAATGACTTTGGAGAAACATCACTGTCTCATCTAGAAGATCAACTCCCACTCGATTCAAATGATTGATGTACTCAGACAATCTGAGCACAAGCTCAACAATTGAGCTTTTCTCCCTTAGTTTGCAGGCTAAGAAAATCGTCGGAGGTCTTATATCTCTTGACGTGGGCACGAGCCTGAAATTCCAATTTCAGCCCTCGAAACATCTCATATGTTTCGCGACATTTCAAAAACCGTCTTCGGTGCCTCAACTCTAAACCATTTAACTGAACTACCACGTAGTTATCAAAACTTGTATGTCATATGTTCGCAACATCCACAGACGACGTTCGAGGTTCAGCACACTGAGCGGTGCATTAAGGACATAAGCCTTCTATGAAGCAATGAGGACAATCCTCGGTTTACGGATCTAGTCCGCATAATTGCTACTATCAACTTTCAACTAAATTTTCTCTAGGAACATATCTAAACAGTAGAACTGAAGCGCGAGCTACGACATAATTTGCAAAGATCTTTTGACTATGTTCAGGATAATTAAGTTCATCTTATGAACTCCCACTCAGATAGACATCCCTCTAGTCATCTAAGTGATTACATGATCCGAGTCAACTAGGCCGTGTCCGATCATCACGTGAGACAGACTAGTCAACATCGGTGAACATCTTCATGTTGATCGTATCTACCATATGACTCGTGCTTGACCTTTTGGTCTTCTGTGTTCCGAGGCCATGTCTGTACACATGCTAGGCTCATCAAGTCAACCTAAGTGTTTCGCGTGTGTAAATCTGTCTTACACCCGTTGTATGTGAACGTTAGAATCTAACACCCGATCATCACGTGGTGCTTCGAAACAACGAACTGTCGCAACGGTGCACAGTTAGGGGGAACACTTTCTTGAAATTATTATGAGGGATCATCTTATTTACTACCGTCGTTCTAAGTAAACAAGATGCATAAACATGATAAACATCACATGCAATCAAATAGTGACATGATATGGCCATCATCACTTTGCTCCTCTTGATCTCCATCTTCGGGGCTCCATGATCATCATCGTCACCGGCATGACACCATGATCTCCATCATCATGATCTCTATCATTGTGTCTTCATGAAGTTGTCTCGTCAACTATTACTTCTACTACTACAGCTAACGGTTAGCAATAAAGTAAAGTAATTACATGACGTTTATGTTGACACGCAGGTCATAAATAAATTAAGACAACTCCTATGGCTCCTGCCGGTTGTCATACTCATCGACATGCAAGTCGTGATTCCTATTACAAGAACATGATCAATCTCATACATCACATATATCATTCATCACATCCTTTTGGCCATATCACATCACATAGCATACCCTGCAAAAACAAGTTAGACGTCCTCTAATTGTTGTTTGCATGTTTTACGTGGCTGCTATGGGTTTCTAGCAAGAATGTTTCTTACCTACGCAAAACCACAATGTGATATGCCAATTGCTATTTACCCTTCATAAGGACCCTTTTCATCGAATCCTATCCGACTAAAGTGGGAGAGACAGACACCCGCCAGCCACCTTATGCAACTAGTGCATGTCAGTCGGTGGAACCGGTCTCACGTAAGCGTACGTGTAAGGTTGGTCCGGACCGCTTCATCCCACGATGCCGCCGAATCAAGATAAGACTAGTAACGACAAGCATATTGAACAAAATCAACGCCCACAACTACTTTGTGTTCTACTCGTGCATAGAAACTACGCATAGACCTAGCTCATGATGCCACTGCTGGGGAACGTAGCATAAATTCAAAATTTTCCTACGTGTCACCAAGATCTATCTATGGAGTCATCTAGCAACGAGGGAGGAGTGGATCTACATACCCTTGTAGATCGCGCGCGGAAGCGTTCAAGAGAACGGGGTTGATGGAGTCGTACTCGTCGTGATCCAAATCACCGATGATCCTAGCGCCGAACGGACGGCACCTCCGCGTTCAACACACGTACGGAGCAGCGACATCTCCTCCTTATTGATCCAGCAAGGGGGGAGGAGAGGTTGATGGAGATCCAGCAGCACGACAGCGTGGTGGTGGAAGTAGCGGGATTCCAACAGGGCTTCGCCAAGCGCTGCGGGAGGAGGGAGATGTGTCACGGGAGGGAGAGGGAGGCGCCAGGGCTTGGGTATGGTTGCCCTCCCTTCCCCCCAATATATATAGGGCCAAGGGAGAGGGGAGGGCGCATCCTTGCCCCTGCCTCCAAGGAAGGGTGCGGCCAAGGGGGGGAGGAGTCCATCCTCCCCAAGGCACCTCGGAGGTGCCTTCCCCCTTTAGGACTCTCCCCTCCTCTTGTCCCTTTGGCGCATGGGCCTCTAGGGGCTGGTGCCCTTGGCCCATATAGGCCAAGGCGCACCCCCTACAGCCCATGTGGCCCTCTGGGGCAGGTGGCCCCACCCGGTGGACCCCCGGGACCCTTCCGGTGGTCCCGGTACAATACCGGTGACCCCGAAACTTGTCCCGATGGCCGAAATAGCACTTCCTATATATAATTCTTTACCTCCGGACCATTCCGGAACTCCTCGTGACGTCCGGGATCTCATCCGAGACTCCGAACAACTTTCGGGTTACCGCATACTAATATCTCTATAACCCTAGCGTCACCGAACCTTAAGTGTGTAGACCCTACGGGTTCGGGAGACATGCAGACATGACCGAGATGACTCTCCGGTCAATAACCAACAGCGGGATCTGGATACCCATGTTGGCTCCCACATGTTCCACGATGATCTCATCGGATGAACCACGATGTCAAGGACTTAATCAATCCCGTATACAATTCCCTTTGTCTATCGGTACGATACTTGCCCGAGATTCGATCATCGGTATCCCGATACCTTGTTCAATCTCGTTACCGGCAAGTCTCTTTACTCGTTCCGTAACACATCATCCCGTGATCAACTCCTTGATCACATTGTGCACATTATGATGATGTCCTACCGAGTGGGCCCAGAGATACCTCTCCGTTTACACGGAGTGACAAATCCCAGTCTCGATTCGTGCCAACCCAACAGACACTTTCGGAGATACCTGTAGTGTACCTTTATAGCCACCCAGTTACGTTGTGACGTTTGGCACACCCAAAGCACTCCTACGGTATCCGGGAGTTGCACAATCTCATGGTCTAAGGAAATGATACTTGACATTAGAAAAGCTTTAGCATACGAACTACATGATCTTTGTGCTAGGCTTAGGATTGGGTCTTGTCCATCACATCATTCTCCTAATGATGTGATCCCGTTATCAATGACATCCAATGTCCATGGTCAGGAAACCGTAACCATCTATTGATCAACGAGCTAGTCAACTAGAGGCTTACGAGGGACATGGTGTTGTCTATGTATCCACACATGTATCTGAGTTTCCTATCAATACAATTATAGCATGGATAATAGACGATTATCATGAACAAGGAAATATAATAATAACTAATTTATTATTGCCTCTAGGGCATATTTCCAACAATGGGATCACCGGAATTAGCAGCGGTGAGCTGAATGATGATAAGAGGTGTGCGCGAGCAGGCATATGTGATCAAACTTTGTGACCGGCAAAAATTAAGCGCATGCATGACACAGGTCTAAGCTCGGCTCGATCACCAGACATGGTGGGGCGGGCGACTGAGGTGGAGCTTGCGAAAACTACTCCTCTTCGTAAACTCCAATAGCATGTGGAAGAGAATTCTTTCAAAGGGGTCCAAAACTTCCTTCACTTCTGGCGTGGTACTAAATTTCCCACCACATGTCATGACACCTACACGGATCCTTAGAGGTTTTGTTGAAATTATTATAGGCCTAGTGCCCATCCTATATTTCAAAAACATCTTTTGTACCTTTGATATAGTTTACTTCCTAAAATGTATGTATTGATTATAGGACGAGATAACATTAATTATCATGCTAGGAGCCACCCACATCAGCATGATGCTCTTCATACTCAGTCTATTCCATAATGTAGTGCGTATAGATTTTCTTTAAGTCAAACTTTACAAATTTTGATCAAGTTTATGGAAAACACTATCAATCATCCGGCGGAACGCTCGGCCGCATCCGCCGCCTGCTCCAGTTGCCACGTCTCTTTCTGAGGCCCACACTTAATCTTATCTCCTAGAACCGGAAGCATCTTGTGTTCGCTGCCGTCAGAGGTGCTTTGTAACAAGTGTTGTGTTGCAATGAGGTTTTGTAACAAGATCTATGTTACAAAAAGATTCTGCAAAAGAAAATCGTTCGGAAAAAAATGCGCAACATGACCTCCATTGCAAAAAGGAAAATCGCAACAGAACATCCTTTGCAAGAAAAAAATCACAACAAAACCTTCGTTGCAGATGTTTCTGCAACATGAGCTCTATTGCAAAAGGTTCTAGGATACTATCGTTGTTGCAATTGTAAGGAAGGGGCTAGGATGTTGGTTGGCATTAGATCTAAAGGTTGACGGGGCAGCGGATCTTTAAAAAGGATCCGCCGGCCAATGCGTAGCATGCCCCCAAGTTTATAGAGAAAACTATTTATATCTACAATACCAAAGATATAAAATATGAATCTACATTTTATAATGAACTTAATGATATATGCTTGGCATTCTACATATAAATTTTTCTCCACAAACTTGATCAAAGTTTATGATGTTTGACTTTTCAAAAAATCTATATGCACTATATTATGGAATGGAGGGAGTATAACATTGTAAATGCTAGTACAATAGTACTATAGTAGTTGTGCGTTGGCTATAGAGTATTTCATCATCTAAGTGACATAGTAAGTGTTGGCATCGGTTTACTATTATTTTCATGCTATGTGTAGTAAAAAATAGCTATTCTCTGAAAAATACATGATCCATTTAATGTGATGTTGGTTATATCTTGCTAGATCGATTGGACGCCAAGGCTTGTCGTAGTAGGAGAGGGAGAATAGCATGGATAATAAGTTACCTTATACAAGCACGACAACAAGGGAGTTCACATTCCAGTTTTTAGAGCAAATTACAGATCATTTTTCTGAGAAGTGTATAATTGGCAGTGGTGGTTTTGGAGTAGTTTATAAGGTAGTTTTTCATGTGTATCCTTTCTTTTCTAGATACTACCATGAATTACAAAAACTAATATACCGAAGTTTTTTACAGGGTGTACTAGACGATGGGGAAGAGATTGCTGTGAAGAAGCTTCTCATGCCGTGGCTTGCTGACCAGCAATTTAATAACGAGTTTAATAACCTTGCGAAGGCACAACATCAAAACATAATAAAGTTAGTTGGCTTCTGCAACCACTCATCAAAAGAAATGGTTACATATGATGGGAAACAATATTATGCTGACGTGGAAGAAAGAGCTCTCTGCTTGGAATACTTGCAAGGTGGAAGCCTTGACAAACATCTTTCTGGTATGACTATGCATTGCTTAAACTATTATTTCTCCATGTAAAGAAAAATGATCATCCCTAAATTTTTTATTTAGGAAATTATTAAGCTTCCCACTTTAATTTCTACAGATGAATCATGCGGTCTCGATTGGCAAAAACGCTATAACATAATTAAAGGAATTTGTGATGGCTTATTCTACCTTCATACTGCATTCGAAGAACCTATTTACCATCTGGACTTAAAGCCTGAAAATATATTGCTAGATGAGGACATGGCACCCAAAATTGGAGATTTTGGTTTGTCAAAACTCTTAGCTTCAAGACAAACCTACAGCACAAAGAATATCAAAGGAACATAGTAAGTTTGTTCAATATGAAAAGTAATTGACAGATTTTTGATTTTTTTTCTAATACTAAATTTGTCTTCCAATGCAGTGGATACATGCCACCAGAATACATCCAGAGAAACAAAATCTCGAACAAGTATGATGTATTCAGTTTAGGTGTAATAATCATACAAATAATTGCAGGGAGGGAGGGCTACTCCAGATATGGAGATATGTCTTCACAAGAATTTGTTGGGCATGTAAGGAAAAAAAAACCTATATCACCAAGAGAAATACACTTTCAACAATATTATGTTGTTTCCTACATCCACGCATGTATGCCACATTTCTCCAACATGTTATGCAGGTACATAAAAAGTGGGCAAAAAGGTTGAAGGAAACAATGGAGACACCTACTTTCAACGAAGTTAGGATATGCCTTCAAACAGCAATCAGATGTGTGGAGGCCAACCGGGAGAAAAGACCAACTATAACCGATATTGTCGCTGAATTGAGAAAGATTAACAGTGCAGAAAGCTCACATATGGACGAGGTACACCACTACTCCCCTCGATGATATCTTTCTGCCCATGACATGGCATCTTAATTTCCTCAAACTAAACCTTACTTGAGTTGGGTCTTTCCTCATTCGATGTGAATTTATATGGGATGACTAATTAAGTTTAGTTCCTATTTTTTATAGCTTAACACATATGCCATGTGGTAATTTACTTTCTATTTTATTCCCTGATTAATCAACAGTTTACACATATACAGTATATTGTTAGAGCATCTACAACCGGAACTCGCAAATGTCACACCCTATACATCCGTGGACGCGTCCATTGACAGGGGCCGGCCAGCCCTCGATTGGCCACGTGCATAGCCGTGTACCCTGTATGCAAACCCCCGAATCCATGAAATGCATGCAACATGAAAATAAACATAACATAGATCAATATATACATAGCATTTACATTGAACATGATATAACAAGTTCAACATAAATTAGTCTACGAGCTCGACGTAGCTACATAGAAAAATACGATAGAAAACTAGATAGTAGATACGGAGGGGATGCCGAGTATGACCACTTCCTCGCCGGAATCTTTCCCTTCGCGTGTCCAGGGCGATGGTGGTAGTCCTCGGCATATGCATCAGTGGTCTGAGGGGGGGGGGTCATTATCGTCGTCGTTGGTGCTACCGTAGGAGAAGGACAATGAGGGAATACCGGGTGACCCGCTCGGACTCCTCGATGCCCGGCCGCAATGTCTTCATATTTTTACAGCGGCAACGACGGCGGGCGTTTGTTTGCCCCAAGGTCAACGGACAACAAAGAACGTCATGGAGGATCTCATCGTCTTAGTCGAAGGGCTCCCAAGAGGTCGTGCTCCGGCATGACCTACATTCGAAACGACTGGATCCAGCCTCTGTCACCATCTGCCGAGTGTGGAGAGCCATCCTTGCCTCTGAGTCTGGGAGGCATGGATGGTGCATGTTAGGCGGTGTGGCATGAGCACCCACCGCCGGCCGGGAGGAGCAGCTACCGGAGGGGACAACCATAAAGCGCGATGGGCCGGTGCCGAGCGAGACGATCCAACAAGGTTCAACGTGGAGTTTGACCGTCGGACTGCCAGGGAAGACGGGGAGCTTGAGCTTCCATGCATGTCCATCATATATCGGTGGATAGCAATGCCAAGAGTGAGCTTCTCATTGTCCGGGGCTTCGCTTCTAGATTCCTCCTCCTTCAAGAGCTTGACCCAGTCGATGTGGTCAGACTCGTTGTCGAATCCACTGCCGGAGCCAGACATGGTGGAAGGGATGAGATCGGACAGGGAGGGAAGGGGAGAAGAAGGGGAGTCGAAACAAAGTGTTTAAGAAGAGTGTGGACTTTGACTAGGGTTTGGTCCGATAGGGTATTTGTGTGGACGGGTTTGCCAGCATGGGCTGGATCCAAGGCGGAGGCCACATCCGGGTGCATCCGGACCGCCCCATATCCGCCTCACATATAGGCTGATTTTTGGGGTGCCGGACAACCCGGACTTATAAGGCCGGTTTGAGGGGTATGGTTGTAGACGATCTTACCCTTTTAATGCCGCCTTAGAGCAACTCCAAAAGTTTTCCAAAAAATCTTCCTGTAAAACCAGTTTTACAGGATGATCATAACTTTTCAGGGAAGTTGTTTTGGAGCAACATTTGTCCGTTCCATAAAGAGTTCAGGCAGGTCATGGATCTGGATCCACATCTCGATCTTCCTCAGCTCTATCGACGATGGCCTGGTGAGTCCATGGTAGGGCTCTATGACAACTACTTTGCCCTGGAACGTCCATGGAACTTCCTCCATCACTCTTTCCCAATCACCAAGACATGAGAGTTGCAGAGTGTATAGATTTTCACCTAGCGGCGAGAGCTTTACTTCCTGTAAGACAATAGGCTTTGGGGGGAACCGGCACAACCCTCTAGGGGTGGCCTATCACATATATATATAATGAGGTGGTATACAACGTTACAATATACACGTGTAAATACAGTCTAACACCCTCCCTCAATCTTAGCCACTTTCTAATGAATCTAGAAGGGTAAGATTGCGCCTGCAAGTCTCAAACTGTGGCAAAGGCAATGGTTTGGTGAAGATGTCAGCAAGTTGATCCTTGGAAGAAATAAACTTGATCTGTAGTTGCTTCTGAGAGACACGTTCACGCACAAAGTGATAGTCAACTTCAATGTGTTTCGTTCGGGCATGGAATACCGGATTTGCAGAAAGGTATGTAGCACCGATGTTATCACACCAAAGAACAGGAGGCTGTGATTGGGGTATACTTAACTCCTGAAGCAAGGACTGTACCCAGATAATCTCTGATGTGGCATTGGCCACAGCCTTATACTCAGCCTCAGTACTGCTACGCGAGACAGTAGCCTGTTTCCGAGCACTCCAAGCAATCAGGTTAGAGCCAAAGAAGACAGCATAACCCCCGGTGGATCGCCTGTCATCCGGATTGCCAGCCCAGTCTGCATCAGAATATGCTGAAAGACAACCAGAGTCAGACGGCCGAATATGCAAACCATGAGCCACTGTGAAACGAATATAGCGCAAAATCCGCTTAACAGCAGACCAATGAGTGTCACGGGGTGACTGCAGATACTGGCAGACTCGGTTAACAGCATAGGAAATGTCTGGTCGCGTGATCGTCAAGTACTGGAGCCCACCAACAATACTCCGGTACTCGGTCGCATCAGAAGAAGAAAGAAGCACACCATCAACAGCATTGAGCTTATCAGTGGTAGACATGGGTGTAGTCGTCGGTTTGCACTTAAGCATCCCAGCTCGCTGCAACAAATCCAGAGAGTACTTCTTCTGCGTCATAACAAGGCTAGCAGCACGAGAAGTAACCTCCACACCAAGAAAGTAATGAAGCTTCCCAAGGTCCTTGACCGCAAAATCAGCACCAAGTGAGCGAACAAGCGCAGTAGCAGCCGACTGAGAGGAGCTGACCAAAATGATATCATCTACATAGACCAACAAGTACATAGTAACCTCAGGCCTTTGAAGAAGAAACAATGAGGAGTCAGCAGTTGATGATGCAAAACCATGAGCACGAAGAGCCATTGCAAGACGAGCATGCCAAGCACGAGGAGCCTGCTTCAGACCATAAATTGCCTTGGACAGATGACAGAGATGATCAGGGCGATCCGGATCAGAGAAACCCGGAGGCTGGCGCATGTAAACCTCCTCCGCCAAGACACCATGAAGAAAAGCATTTTGAACATCAAGCTGACGAAGAAACCAACCTCGAGTAACAGCCAGAGAGAGAAGAAGTCTGATGGTAGTAGGCTTGACCACTGGACTGAAGGTGTCTTCATAGTCAAGTCCAAAACGCTGTCGAAAACCACGAGCAACTAGACGAGCCTTATAGCGCTCAATGGACCCATCAGAATGCCTCTTCACTTTGAAAACCCATTTGGAATCAATGACATTTACCCGTGATTGTGGAGGAACAAGAGTCCATGTCTGATTGCGAAGAAGCGCTTGATACTCCTGCTCCATGGCCTCTCTCCAATGAGGAATGCGCATAGCAACTTGATACGTGCGTGGCTCAGAGGATGGATCTGCGAGAGCAGCAGACATGCACGCCGCTAACCAAGCAACTGTGCCATCATGACGTTGCTTAGGCTGAAAAATGCCACTCCGACTGCGCGTATGTGGACGTAGAGCAGCAGCAGGAGCCGGCGGAGGCGAAGGTGACGGAGACGTGACGGTCGCCGGAGATGCAGGAATCACCTCAGGCGAGCTCGGGACAGACGACTCCGGGCTGCATGGCGAAGACTGGTCCGACGACAGGGGCTCAGAGGCCATGGGCGAACCGAGGGTGGGCGAGGCCAGCTCCGGTGACACCGGCCCAGACGGCCTTGGCGAGGCGAGAGCAGGCGAGGCCGGCCCTGGTGAGAAGGGCCCAGACACCCTGGGCGAGGCAGGGGCGGGCGAGCCCAGGCCTGGTGATGACTGCCCCGACGCCCTGGGCGAGATGGGGACCGAGGAGGCCGGCCCAGTCGGCGGGGTTGCAGGCCGCGACGATGGCGAAGGCAGCCCAGAAGCCAGAGGCGATCGGGCCAGGACGTCGATCGGCCGTGCATGAGCACGGAAACCGAGGCCATGCAGGGGCGCCATGTGCTCCTCATGCACAACAAAAGGTGCCGAGGATGAAGGCGATGGCGACGAAGAGGAAGATGGCGCTTCCAGAATCTCCAAACGAGCCCCACGACCAGTGCCTGCACCATGGTTAGGCAACAATAGAGGAGAATATGCAACATCATCAAATTGGTCAGAAGCAACATAGGATGAATGCATGACAGGTGGCTCGGTAGTGGACACAGGGAGTTTGGCAAAGGGAAAAACATGCTCATCAAACACAACATCCCGAGAGATGTAGACACGATTAGTGGGAACATGAAGACATTTGTATCCTTTATGAAGAGAGCTATAACCAAGAAAAACACACTTCTTGGAACGAAACTCGAGCTTACGCTTGGTATATGGACGAAGATGGGGCCAGCAAGCACACCCAAACACCTTGAGAAAGGTGTAGTCCGGTTGTTCATTAAGGAGAACTTCAATGGGAGTCTTCATATTCAAAACACGAATGGGAGTACGATTGATGAGAAAACATGCAGTGGTGAAAGCATCACTCCAAAAACGAAACGGAACAGATGCATGGGCCAAAAGAGTCAGACCAGCTTCAACAATGTGACGATGCTTACGTTCTACTGAACCATTCTGCTGATGTGTATGTGGACATGCTAAACGGTGAGTGATCCCAAGCGACTGAAAGAAGGAGTTGAGGTTGCGATACTCGCCACCCCAGTCCGACTGAACATGAACAATTTTGTGCTTGAGAAGGCGTTCAACATGTTTTTGGAACTGAACAAAAATGTCAAACACATCAGATTTACGTTTGATAAGATAAAGCCAGGTGAAGCGGCTGTAAGCATCAACAAAACTGATATAATAATTATGACCACTAACAGAAGTCTGAGCAGGACCCCATACATCTGAAA